CCCATCAAGCTAGCTAAGAAACTCAAATGACTTCCCGATTTCGCTTTTAACAATCTACTATCCGTAGTAGGAAATGGATGGGAAGAATCTCGGTTATTCACAAAACTGAAAATGACTCCTCCCGGCAACTGAAATATAATCCGCTTGCAAAAACAATCCATTACCGCCCGGAAAGCGGACAACAAGTTCATCCCGAAAATCACATCATACCCCTTTATCTCTAAAGCAATCAAATCCACAATCAATTCGTGCTCCCCAATGCAAAGCACGCAACCCTTGCAAACTCGGCTAGTATCTAACCGTTCTCCCGTGGGCAAGCTAATGTTCATAACATGCTCTAGCTTCGCGAAACTCAATCTCAAATCAAGTGCATATGTCGTGCATACAAATGAGTGTGTTACACCGGGGTCAAATAATATTCGGGCCCAAGAATTGTAAATAAGGACGATACCTTCCACAACGACATTGACAATGTCCTCCTCCGACTGAGTCAAAGCAAATACTCGCCCTTGGTTGGCACCGCCGGGGCTTGAGCTTGTATCCGTCGTTGCGGTGCAGGCCTCGGTGGTGGTGGTTGGGCTGCTGGTACCTATCTGGCGGTCTGGATAGGCCCCTGAGGTGGAAAAACTGGACAATGCATCCGAATATGCCCCACACCTCCGCATGCAAAACAGGATCATGAGGTAATACCGGCTCTAGTCTGAGTGTCTCCCTCTCCTCGGGCTGTCAAAAGTCGTTGTCCACCTGTCTGGTCTGGGCGACGGTATGGTGTCGGTCTCTGTGCCCCACTAGTGCTAGCACCCGTCCGGATCAGACCTCCTCTCGAGAAGCCTTGTCGTCGCTGGCTATCCTCTATGTCTCTCTCTACCAGTGCAGCTCTGTCCACCAAGTCCCCAAAATCACGGATCTTGAGAGCCACCAACTTCTCCTTGATGATCGGCCTCAAACCCTGCTCGAAGCGCTTGGCCCTGTCGGCCTCATTAGATATAAATCCCGTAGCATAACGGGAGAGCTCGTCGAACCGCCTCTCATACTCAGCCACGGTCATACTACCCTGTCGTAGTGCAAGAAAATTCGCCTTCATTCGGTCTCTGATCGATTCAGGAAAATACTTATCTTGAAAAAGTTGATCAAACTCTTCCCAAGTGAGTGTATCGGTGTCCCTTCTCCTCTTTATAGCATCCCACCAATAGTCGGCCTCCCCCTCAAACAGGTAGGTCGCCACACCAACTCTTAACTCCTCGGCAACTCCCATGCCGTCACAGATCTTCTTCACTCGGCGGATCCATCTATCCACCTCCAAAGGATTGGAGCTCCCTTGAAAATTGGGTGGTCGTTGTCTTAAGAATTCCTGAAGAGCTATCATCCTTTGGTCTCCGTTCCCATTGCCCGGTACTTGAGTGAGAGGATGAGCTCCACCATTGTGGTTGTTGTTACCATTTTGATTTTGTACCAAAGTGGTGAGCTCTCTCAAGCATTGGTAAATGCCTTGCATGGCATTCGGAGGTGGTGGTGGTCGTGGATTCGCTTGACCTCCACGGCCACGCCCACGTCTGTGTCCCCGTCCGTTCATCCTGCACATCAATTCACAACTTAGTTCATGGATGTAAAGGACATCCTAAATATTAGGTTAAGCTAAGGCATAGAACGTGTATAAAATTTCACTCAAGGATTTGATTCACCCTAATCCTAAAGCTCTAGAGGTGATTTCATAACCTACAGCTTCCATGTAAGACCTAAAGCCTAAGCTCTGATACCAACTTTATAACGCCCCAAAACACACCCTGGTTGACATTACATTCTAAAATCATTCATATCATGAGAGTATTAATATAATCCCTTAAGAAACAAGACTTCATTTGTCATCCACGAATATTTACAATATTATCTAAAAGAATAAGCCCAAGTCATGGCTATGACATCTTAAATATTAATTAAGAAAGCGCAGCGGAATAAACAAAAGAAGTTAGACTACACAATGTTCCAAAAGAATGTCCTAGTCTAGTACAAAAAGAGAGGAGTTCGCTCTATGCGTCCACCTCGGGATCCACACTCCCGTCCCGTGGAGTCTCCCAAGTAACAGGCTCCTCGACCCTTACATCCTCCTCAAGCGGGTAATCTGAAAAATGTTAGCGATAGGGGGTGAGCACGAAGCTCTGTAGAAAAATTCTCCCAAACCCATACAAGGTTTAGAAAAGCATTTAAAACGGTCCGTCTCAATTTTAACATAACATAGATACATAATTTGAAATAAAGCAGTGACATTTAAAAAGGATCTCAAGTTTATTTAAAAACATTACTTAAATGAATAAATGAGCACCACATACAAATAATAACCATTAATTACCATAACCAATTTTCAATAATTCTTTCGGTAGGTAACATATTTTGTGGTAACCTCCACCCCCCTTTTAGATCACCTTTGATTCTCAAGCATCCTTACCGGAAACCTCTTGAAAATGGATGAACATCCTTACATGAAACCTCTCACAAATCACTACATTATTTTTCAAGCATCCTTACCGGGAACCTCTTCAGAAGGGGTGAACATCCTTACAAGGAACCTCTCACTCATATGCATCATAAACAACCCAACCAAGCATACAATTCCAACATTTATCTTAATTTACAACCATCTATCCAAAATTCCTAAAATATATCATATAACAATTCCACAACTAACTAATAAAATACATGAGATCACAATAACATCATTTTTCTACCCAACACAAAGCACTAAGGTTTCGAAATTCATAATAAAGAAAATATTTAAGAAAAAAATACATCACTCTCCAAAAATTAGGGTTTTAAAACTAGAAAGGAGATTTCATGGGTATTAAACCCTACTTTGTTCAAAACATGTAATCCTTGTAAAAAGCCTAAGAGAGGATGATTTCATAACATATATATATATAATTGATAGCCAAAACATACATATATAAATACCCTAGCCTCAATGTAAGTGAATGAGAGAAAATCCCTGCCTTGAATCCTTAGCTTTGGAGTGAAGAACAAGAATATTTGATCTTGAATCACCCTTGAATCTCTTCTTTTTCCCTTCCTTTCTTCTTCTCTAATGTCCTCTAGGGTTTCAAGAGGTGTGGGGGTGTGAGAGGAGTGAAGGAAATGAGAGCAAATGAGATGAAAATGAGTTTAAAACATAGCAGCCCTGAAAAATACTGTTCACAGGCTGTTCTGGGTTTCTCCAAATTTACCATTTTGCCACTAAGAATCTTCAATTTGATCCATATGACTACCCTAAGGTTTTTCGACGTTCCGGATTCAGTTTTAATGTTATTTCAATCTAAAAATATTTATTTTTATGATTTATCTCAACACCCAAGTCAACGTATACCCGAAACACTAAAGTTTCTATTTTACCCATCCGAATCGACTATTAATGAAGTTTTGCGATGTTTGCAAATAAAAGGTGATAAAGGGTATTTCTTAAAGCTTTTTATACTTATTTGAAGCCTAAAAGTACTCATTATTCTTCTATTTTGATTTAGGCTGCAGATGGAGACATTAAATACAAAACGAAGCTAATTGGACTATTTCGGCATCGTTTCGTTATCTGAGCATAACTCTCTCATCTAAGCTCCGATTGAAATGATTCAAGATGCTATGGAATAATACGAAAGAGCTCTAAAACTTTCATGTTTTGAGTTTTGAGAGATATTGACTACATCAAGGTCTAAATCGAGCATGAAGTTGCAGCAGTGCACTGTTCACATGCACTGTTCACAGCCCGTCTTCGTCTCTTTTCTATTTTCAATCCATTCCTAAGCTAACCAAATCCATCTCAAGCCTCTCCAACACGTATTTCTACACCAAACCTATTTAATACAAGTTCTAGAACCTAAAATTTCATATTTTCACTTATTAAAACCAAATTTCAATTATTATTTTCACTAACATTTTAAATCTCTACTTTTTCAATCTACCAAATTCAAACACACATCACTACATATATCCATATTTTTTTTACCACAATTATTTACTATATATCTATATACATATATAAAAGAAAATACGGGGTGGTACAAAATGCAAGAAGGGTGTCACATCTGTTAGTTAGTGAGTGTCATATAAGATTATAAGATTTTGGATGATTTTGTTCCTAAAAAGCTTAATTTTAATTCCATTACGTTATGAATAAAATTTGTGATTTAGTCGTGGACTCATTGTCATTCGGAAATCTATATTGTCTAAATTTGATCAACGGTAAACCTAAATGTAGAACTTTCTCTATGTTTATGTTTATTAAATCTAGGTTGATATGTTAATGATGTTTGTCTATTTGAAAGTTTATGTTTATGTTAATGATGTCGTCTAATTAAATAGTAACTTCTTTTGTCTAGTTCAAATCAAATTCGTCTGTCATAAACATAGATTAAGGGCACTGTAATCAATCCTATACTACCCATCCTAAAGCGTAAAGCCAATCCTTTCCCCCTCAGTAGCTCGTGGTCTCCCCTTTTGGAATATTCATTTGCTCCCCTCTCTTAAATGTTAGTATAAATTACAAAAGATTGTAAAACAAAAGACACAAAATTAGAATGCTATTCACTAAAAAAAAAAAAGCCAAATGGATTTGTAAGGTAGTAATTTTAAACACATCACATTGTAAATGGCTAAAACAATAGTTAGGCTTACCAAATTCCTGGTAGTGTACAGTCACATCACTAAACAAACTTGGCTATTAATATTAAACAAACCTGGCTATTAATATTATGCACCGTGATGCACAATACAAAGACAAAGCGAAATAGGTGGCAAGCAAAGTAAGCGAGCAGATGATTGGTATCAAATCAAACCTGTAAAATATGAAGAACGTGGATAAAATAGGAGAACCTTGAAAACACTAATTAGGAGAAATATGCATCATAAGTTTGTTTTATTTTTTCTACAATTCAATTCAACCTAAAACAAATCCCCCCCACGAACACACACAAGAAAAAACCCTTGAGAGAAACAGTTGCGGTCGGTCACTGATTTAATTACAGCGTGGACGTGATGAAGGAGGTAGTCTTACGAGTATGAGTCACTTTTTGATCATCTTTTAGCATCCTTTCAAGTTCCTTCACAAAAATTTTCATGGTAGGCGCAGGGAAGGAAATGGGCACTACACTCCCATTCTCGCCCTTGCTATTCGTAAAAGGTATGTAAAAGCTGGCCACCCCAGCAATGGCACCAACACCACCCTTGGCTGGACCACCGTAGGCCGCTTTGCCCCCACCCAAAGTCCACATCTCCAAATCCAGCGCGAGTAACGTCCGATACCAGGTAAGTTCGCACCATCATAAAGTGGGGTTGTCCTCTGATCACCATCAAGTCGGCCACTGATCGCATATACTCCGCGGTGACATTTGCCTTGGCTTTCATGACAAGTTGCAGGGCATACCCCAAGGGGTTGTTGCACAGCTTCCCGGCAGTGGAGATGGCCACCAGGAATGCAAAGGCATTGCCGTAGTAACCGTTGGGTAGGGAAGGGTCAAATTTGGCACGAGCATTGACGATGCAAAGGATACGCACCTCCTCCTCTGGTTCTGGTTGAAGGGTGATGGTGTGGCAACGCCACAAGAAGGCTGTTAGCAATTCAAAGGTGGAACATTCGCCCTGACCCTGCAGGTGGGGAGGCACGAACCTACGAAGAGCCGACACTTGAGTGGACCCAAAGAATAAAGAGTTGTGGGCCATGTCATCCAAAGGAATAATGGTCCCCTTGGTGTCCGAGATTTGATCATACTCGTGGTGAGTGCATGTCACACGCGGAGGCTCCCTAGCATTTAGCAACTCCCTCTGCCATAGTGGCTACACCGAGGGGATAGGAGCACCTCGTGCCATTTCACCCAGGGACCGCCATGAACTGGACTAGTCCAGCTGCATCACTCATGGTATGATTTAGACATAGTGCGAATATGAAACCCCCACACATGAGACGCGTCACCTATACGTCAAGTAAATTAAATAAATTTAGCTATGCCATTCATAATTAATTACTACATGAAGGTCTGTTATACCAACGGAAACAAAAAAAAATAAAAATTGATTATTTAAACAAGAAATCAACAAAAAACTAGTATAACTCAAAATCAACATAAAATTAGTATCTCAATTATTAATTTGATGTTAGTTACATGAATCTTATGTCACATATTTTTTTAAATAGTAAACTATCTTATCTTTTTTTAAAATTAAATTTCAAAAAAAAAACCAATAGAACTATTCCTACTAATTTTGGACCACAAATCCAAAGTGCTCCTTTAGTGATCATCTCTCCCTGCCACACCACTCATAACATACGGATTCTTATCTATAATAATAGTACTGTATGTCAGTTTCAACTGATTTGGAAAACATGTTTTCTGATAAAGGTCACAGTTCACACCTTGTGCGAAGGGTACAATACAGTGTCCGCATTGCATTATACATGCAATTCACGACTTTTTAGTCTTTGAAAAAAATTAGAGCTTCATGGGTGTCTTTTCGCATATAGTAGTGGAACTGAACCACTCAATTATTGAGTTGGCTAATTCGTTTTTATTGGTCCAACTAACATCTATGACACTCACTAAATTCATTAATAAAAAATATTATTTAAATTTAATTTTAACATTTAATTGATTATAATTGTTAGATTAAATCTATACTCTATTTTATATTCAAACTCTTAATTACATTGAATTAGGTTCTCAGATTAGATACTTATAACATTGTTAAAAAATATAATAGAGGAAATTTTTTTTTTTTGACTAATTAAACTTGATTTTATAAAATTTGAGATTTCATAGGATTTTACCAGAAATACCATTGAAAATATGCACGTGATTGACACATAATCTTTTCATCTATTTTTTGTGACATCAATTAGTGTGAATGACCTAATTAACTTAATGTTTGAACTTTAGGGATGAAGTCAAAATTTTGTGGACAAAAGTGTAATAAATAATAAATTTCAGGGACTATTAGTACAATTTATCCTTAAAATTTTAGGAGTTAAGGATATGTTAAACTATAGCGGATACAGAATGAAAAAATGCATGCCTATTAATATAACGAGAGACATGTTCTGGTTGTGATTGTACGTGCAGTTAGTTATTACTTGAAATTAACTTCTGAAAATGTATATATATTTATTTATAATATAAAATAAGACATACTTAAGTAAGTTTATTTATTAATTTCAAATAGATTCAACCGGCGGCTGTCAACATAATTCTTTCACTTAAAATCATTCACATTATATCGTATTTTTATTTACAAATTATCCTAGTATATATATATAAATACAAATCGGTGGGTATATATACCCCAAAAAAAAAAAAAAAAAAAAAAAAAAAAAGAAGTGTACCTGAATAAGCAACAAAGGGCAGTTAAGGACCCCTCCGGAGCCGGGAACATCGTAGAGAAGCTCCTCCAAGCAGGGGAACGGAGGTTGAAGGCAATCGCCGAACTGGTCGAGGGTGACGTCGGCATCAGCTTCAATGAACATGACAACCTCACCGGTACAGTCTACCATAAGCTTCCGGCCTGGGACTTCCCTAAGACGACCAGCAAATGGGTGGTGGAAAACAAGGGTTTTGGCAAGAGCTTCTCTGATGACCTTCACAGGGTCTCTGCCTCTTCCTCCCGTTCCTATATTCCGATAGAACTGTATGGCTGGGATCTGAAACCGAAGACCTTCCTGATCATCGATGTCAGAAAGCAGTTTGCACTCATGAGGTGTGGCCATTGCTGGAGGGACCAGCTCAGGCTTCTGCCTCCTCACTGTGAACGTTAAAGATGTGGTGGGTGGTGGTGCCATATATACCCAGAAGAAAATTATGGGATGGTCCTATAATAATACACAACCGTCTGAGAGGAGTTTATGTGAGAATAGTGGTCTTCATTTGCAATCCCGGAGCCGGAATTTATAGAGTATAACAGGGAATGTGAAGACCGTTTCTATGAAATGATGATGGGGGTGAGAGTTTGAGGATGAGAGCTGAAAGGGTTGCCTGTGTCTCCCTGTTATGACATTAAAATAATATTAAATGAGTTCACGTGATCAACAAGAAAAGGCATGTGATGAAAACATCAATCAATTTGTCAAACAGGTCTAGCCGAATTGACTAATATGTTCGGCAAGCGAAGAAAGAGCTCGGCTCATACCTAACTATGTTGTTCAAGGGGTTCAGTGGGTAATGGAAGAGTTTGGTCCATATCATGACCGAGCTATTTGAAACAATAAATAGAAAAATAAATTATTCGCCTATAACTTAGGAATCCAACATAAGTTGATGAGCTTATTTATAGGCCAAGGGAACTGCCAGAGGGATTTTAGCAGCTTCCCAAATTGAATTGCTAAATTAAAGGAAGGTGTGTCACCTTGAATGTAGGATGATGGAATCCTAATTGAACAAGGATCTATAAAAGAAATGTGGATTCAAGGTGAAAGGTATGCTGAACTCTCCTTATCTTTTTGCAATTGATTCAAACTCATTACTGACTTAAGCATCAGAGTGTCTTCGATCGAAGCACTTCAATCTTAGACAGTTTATTCGTTTTGCAGGAGGAGGAAGGGTGGGAGATTTAGTAAAAAAACACATCTTTACTGGAAATATCAATTCTACGTTCGTGTGAGAGGTTTGTTTTTTATTTTCTCTTACATTTTTTGGTGTCGTCTATGGGAAAATTTTTCATCAATCGGAACAAAAAGCTACAATGTCAAGTTTCAGAAATGTCATTGGATCACTTGTAGGCAGTTTTACCTTAGGTAATTCTAATCCGGTATCGCTCCCTTCTAATAGCAACGTTAGGTTGCATATTGACAAAAGCCCATCTGGGCCCCATGAGAATTACTATGTATCCTTAGCAAGCTTCAAACGAACCAGAAACCAGAACCAGCGAGGATAAGATCGTGGTGAGTCCCTCCCTGTCGAGGGGGAAACCACTAATTGGCAAAGTTGGTCTAATCCCTATAGGATCGGCTTTATGCTCATGACAAATTATTCAAGAAATCTTATGCCAGGGAAAAAGACCTGATAAAAGAAATGAAGAATTGAAAGCCAAGTTGAAGGAGATAAATAGAAAAGAAAAATGTGAAAGGGAAAGCCAACGATAAAGTCCCGAAAAGAAACATGACAGAACCAAGAATGCCAAGGATGACAAATACTAGCAAAAAAGACCTTGGGTTCTAGAGGAGGACTCTTGGCAGCAGTACATCATCGAAGAACTAAACAAACGTTTGAAGAGCCCAAAGTAGAGGTCAACAATGGCTCGGAGTCATCTCCTTTTACTTTGTGGATTGAAAGGGAGCGTATCCCCAACCAGCCTCCCACATCAAATATTTCAAACAGCTAATGACCATTCATCGGTGGAATGAACCCTTGCTTTGCACCATCTTCTCTAGCAGCCTCGAGGAGTCGGTCATGAAATGGTTCGACAACTTGCTTAAGGGGTCGATAGACGGATGGTCACAGTTAGCCGAGCAATTTACAAATCGGTTCATTACGAACAGCAAACAGCCCAAGGATGTCGGGGCTCTCCTGACATTAAAGAAGTGAAATAATGAAACTTTGCGCGAGTACGCTCATTGCTACTAGAGACAATGAATGAGGTAGAGCTTGCAATCCTGAAATCAAAGTAGCATCCTTTGAGATAGGGTTACGAAAGGAGAACCCCTTGTACCAATCACTCACCAGGAGGCCAACCACAGACCTAGAAGAACTGATGGTAAGAATTGAGAAGTATGCTAAAGTCGACGACGATTTATCCAGAGATGTGGTTAAGGATCATCAGGCAGAAGGCAGTTCGGCCATGATAAACAAACTGAACCGAATACAGAGGGCAGAAAGAAGAGCGAGACAGAGGGATTTCTCTTGAAGTCTCCCTTTCTTTGGATAAATACACTGTTCAAAGAAATAATATATAAGATTTTGAATTAAATCAAGGGGAAGCCATTTTTTAAGTGGCCCAATAAGCTAACAGGGGATCCTTCGAAAAAGAATCCTAACTTCAGATGTTTATACCATCGGGATGTAGGCCACATGGCTGAGAATTGATGATCTTTGAAGCAGCATTTGGAAGAACTAGTCCAGGCTGAGCATCTCACCGAGTTCATCAAAGGTGGAGCGAGAACTGACAGAGGAAGGACAAAACCAAAAAAAGTTCAGACCACACCAGCAGGGGTAATAGATGTGATCTACGCTGCAACGAATCTGCAAATGTCAACGAACAATGCTGCTAGGGCAAATATTAAGAAAGCTGCGAAAGAAAGAGAAGTCTATTAGCTGCGACTGACTCCCGAGGTGAGGAATAAAAGGATTAAGGCAGAAGAGTCAACTGAGGCCATCTGCTTCATCGAGTAGGATTTGGTCGAGGTTCATCAACCACACAATAACGCATTAGTTATAACGCTTTGCATTGCAAAATATAATGTAAGGAAGGTTTTGATTGATATTGGGAGTTCCTCCAAAATTATGTACATGGATTTCTTCAACAAGCTCGGACTCAAGGAAGAAGACCTTATGTAACACCCCACCCTCCACATGGTATAATATTGTTCGCTTTGGGCCAACTGACCCTCATGGCTTTGCTCCTCCCAGTATCCCTAGGAAAAGGCCTTATGCCATGTAAGGCAAGGGGCTTACTAATAAGCCCAGTCACTTTTCCCTCCCTAACTGATATAAGACATCAAGATCTTACAATACAACCCCCTTAGGGCTGCACATCCCTGTGTAACAGCTTGTCAACTACCTGCCCGCCCACTACGTGCGAGCACGTTAAGGGCCCACACTCGATCTAGGCAAGAGTCGGCTCTGATACCAACTTGTAACACCCACCCTCCACATAGCATAATATTGTCTGCTTTGGGCCAACTGGCCCTCACGGCTTTGTTCCTCCTAGTATCCCTTGGAAAAGGCCTTGTGCCATGTAAGGTAAGGGGCTTACTAATAAGCCTGTTCACTTTCCCCTCCCTAACCGATGTGGGACACCAGGATCTCACACCTTAAGCCCTCCAATACTCCACTAATCGGTTTTAGTGGGAAAACAGTTCTTCCTAGAGGGAAGATCACACTGCCTGTGAAGAATGGACCAGTTGGCGTCATATCCGAGTTCTTGGTAGTTGATACGGCCTCGGCTTATAATGCAATAATGATGCGATCTTGGCTACATGAGATGAAGGCGATACCATCAATGTACCACCAGATGCTGAGATTCTCTTTGTCCGAACGAATAGTAAACATGAAAGGAGACTAGGTTAGTTCCACAACTTGTTTACTGGCCTCGGTCAGAGCCAAAGACGGAGTAGAGAATTGAGAGAGGAGTTTAGTAGCCAAGGTGACAAAATAGGAATCAATGCTTGACAGCTCGGTTGATTCTACTAACCAAGCTATCATGAAAAGCCCTAAAGTACCTTTAGGCGCCGAAAAAGAAGCTACTGACCAAACAATCGAAGACTTGACTAAAATACCTTTGGATAGGGATAGAGACAAGGATATGTACTTTTTGTTGGGAATGACTCTTAGCCTTGAACAGTAAAATGAGCTCGTCACTCTACTTCAAGAATATGTCGATATTTTTGCTTGGAGTAGAATGATATGCTCGCCATACCATCCGAAGTTGCATGTCACCAATTAAACGCTGACCCTAGTTACAAGCCAGTTAAGAAAAAGCTCAAGAGGTTGGCCCCTTAGCATCAGGAGATAGTGAAAGAGGAAGTGGCACGATTGCTGGAGTCCCAAACCATCAGAGAAGTACAATATCTGACCTGGCTGTCAAACACTATTGTGGTGAAGAATAAAAATAGGAAATGGAGAGTCTGTGTTGACTTCACCGACCTCAACAAAGCTTGTCCAAAAACAGCTTCTCCTACTTAAGATAGATCCATTGGTTGATGCAACTGCTGGACATGAACAAATAAGCTTCTTGCACGCCTATAGGGGATACCACCAGATCCCCCTTGCCGAAGAGGATTAAGAAATGATTGCTTTCATAACGCCTGAAGGAACGTACTGCTACATGGTAATGCCCTTCGCGTTAAAGAATGCAGGAGTTACATATTAGAGGTCGGTAACCAAGATGTTCTCACACATGATAGGCGGCACCATAGAAGTCTATATTGACGACATGGTGGTGAAAAGTCGAAGGGCCGCTAGTCACTATTGCAACCTGAGAAGCATATTCGATGTTTTGTGGAGATACAAGATGAAATTAAATGCCTTGAATTATGCATTTGGGGTGGGATCAGAGAAGTTCCTTGGTTTCCTGATTATCGAGATATAGAGGTAAACCCCGATCAGGTAAAGGCGATTGTAGAACTACAATCACCTCGGACTGTAAGGAGGTACAGAGGCTAACTGGAATGGCAGCTGTACTCGAAAGGTTCATATCCCAATATCTGATAAGTGCAGACCTTTTCTTTCAATCAATCAAAGGAAAGAAGTGAACACTTTGAAGTCCGGAGAGCGAGAAAGCATTTGTAAAGCTAAAGGCATACTTGGCCTGCCCACCAATTCTTTCAACCCTATCACCCGAGGAAAGCCTATTCATCTACCTAGCTGTATCAAAACATGCGGTGAGTGGGGCATTGATGAGGAATGATTGTGAGAAGTTAAAGCTTGTTTATTATGTGAGCAAGATGCTCTTAGATGCAGAATCAATGTATACTCCATTGGAGAAGCTCGCGCTCGCACTTGTTAGCTCGGCTAGGAAGCTCATACATTATTTTTTGGCTCACTAAATCACATTGCTCACTGACCAACCGTTGAAGTCACTTTTTCAAAAGGACGACCTATCTGGACGCATTGCTAAGTGGGCAGT